TTAACGGATGACTGAGTACTTGCTGAGCATATATATGCTATTGATCACTTCTGACTCAGTGCTTACCTGGGTAACTGTTACTTAGAAGATCAGCTTCTTTTGATGTAGCATGGAAAGTCGTATGGCTTCAGGAGAGTGAAGCTGCTAAGTCAAACTGTGATAAATGTTCTTTATTTACTTTGCCCGAAAGCTTGAGAGAAAACCAAAACCTGATACTCACTTTCTAATGTTATATGCCCCTTTTTTTCTCCTTCATGAAGCATTCCACTTTCCCAACCTTCTTTTTTTCCCATAGGAAGATGATTCTTGTATCCATCAGTAGACAAAAAATTGTACTGAATAAATTTTTACCTTGTGCAACTTCATGGTGTTTGTGATTATTCTTTCCAGAAAAGCTTTTACAGTAAAAATTAGAAGTGCTTCTTCAAGGGTTGATTTGGGGATTTCCAAGACACTCTGAAAAGCTGTGGTGGGTTTTTCAAGGTATACTGTAACTGTGGCAGTTTAATCAACTCTGGTCCTGGCAACTGTTCAGCTTCAGCGTTATTTCCAAGGAATCATAAACAACCAAAGGTACTGTCTTGCAGACCTGAGAAAGAAGAGCTATATGTTCTTGTAGCCAATCCATAATACATTTATCACTTGACATTTTAGCCTGACTACCAAGCCTGGAGTTTTGAGGACTGGAAATCAGTTGGGGGTTTTTGAAACTTTAAATGATGGTGATGTGGGGAAAGGGTTAGATTGTATTTTTATAACACTTCAAAATGTCCACTAATCCTAATATTTTAAGTGCTGTGCTGTCAACCTGTAAAACAATAGTGAAGTCTGACTTTAGACTTCACAAATTTAGAATTTACAATAAGCATGATAACTTGGAAAGTACTTGGCACCACAGAAGGTAATGTCCAAAGCTGTATGTGATGTTTCTTATAGTCTAGTTCAGAATTACAAAGCTAAACTGGAGTGTATCTGTGGAATCACAATGTTAGATTGCCTGCAGAACTGCTCGCTTTCAGTGCATCAGCGTGTGGAGGTAATGTGTAATGTGAATTAAAATAATAGTGGGTTTAGGTGACTTCTTTTTTCTTATGGAAAATAGCATGTGGTCATAAAATGAGCAGAGCTGTATTTATCAGTCTGGGAAGGGAAAGCAGGTGCTGAACATCATCAAGTCTCTAAAAACAAATTTCAGCTCAGGTTTAAGTCTTTATTGATGTTTTCAGGTTCTTAGAAACGGAACCTGCTCACATCATTCCTGAGAAGGCCTTGCAATTGACTTGTAAAACTCTGGAAAAAGTTAAAAACTACTTCTTGGTAGTTACAATTGTTGGGAATGTCACTGGGTTCCTGAGACAATTCTGGTACTTCCATTATGAAATATTAAGTGAGTGGGCAAGTATTGTATGGTAGGGACTTGGCAATGCTTTGCTTACATACACATTTATTAATGCTCCTGGTTCCTTGAAGCACAGAGATCAGATTTCCAACCTGCTGTTATTAAAAGAGAAAAACCAAACCTGGAAGGGACAGATTAGTTCACTGGGCCTAATTGGAAAAGCATTTCATTAGAACGGGTCAAAAACCTAGTCAGAGAGGTCTGGCAATCATGGTATAATGGTACATTAGGGAGTGCTTCTCACTAAGTATGGTCTACCTGTTCCTTAATTAAAATGAAAATGATTTAAACTGCTATTACTTTCCTCTGCTGTTTGTTTAACATAGTTAATAAAGGTATCTAATTGTTGGAAAATTGACAAGGTTTTCTCGTAAAAGATTGCTTTCATACATAACTCCAAGACCTGAGCTCTGAAAATCTGGGGCTTTTTAATGACATCCCTAAAAATCCTTTGTCATTTGAGTGTGCCAAGGTAGCTCCTGCTTTCATAACATCCCTTTTCCTCGTTGCTGGACTAAATGGGGGAAAAGTGACTTTGCTGGAATGTACCTTAAGAAGTAGATTTGTTAGGCAAGGAATCAATGTGTCAAGGGAAGAGTGAAAAACCAGAGGCTGGTCTTGGAGTTACTTGAAAGATTGCTGAACAAAGCTCTTTGGCAAGTATTAAAATAGTGTGCAGGAGCTGGGAGCTGACAAGAGGTGGTAGTGAGAATGGATTCCATGAGACCTTTGCTTGCTGCAGTTATCAGAACTGTTTGCTGGAATGTATTTTTCTTTCATTGCAGGGTCAGAGGATTACAGAAGCAAATTCACTGGGAAGTGTTTCATGGACCTTGTCTGTCCCGAGAAGTGTCGCTGCGAGGGAACAATTGTAGACTGCTCTAACCAAAAACTCACCCGATTACCCAGTCACCTTCCTGAGTATACTACTGATCTGTAAGTGCTGGCTCTCCACGCCCTGCTCAGCAGGGCATGTTGGGTTTCCTACTTTTTAAAGGCTATAAAAGGGACTCAGAGCATTTCAAGAAGGCACCTTTACTTTAATCCCTGTGTGAAAGAGGGGAAGTTGATTTGTTTCAGAGCACCACAACTCTCTTATTTCCTTAGCATTTATACCAACTGTGGGGATGAGACAGGAGCCATGGCCCTGTTCATCAGCTGCCTGTGTGAGTCTTCTTGAAGTGCTGCCCTGTTATGTGGCCCAAGCTGTTTGGTTCCTTTCCATTCTACCTTTGAGCCCCTTGGCTTTGCATCCAGTCATTTTTACTTAAGAAATGGATTAACCCTTTTGAGTTAAATCTGTGATCAGGAACTCACAGGGGAAGTTTAGGTTAGATATAAGGAAGAAGTTCTTCACACTGAGGGTAGTGAGTCACTGGAATAGGTTGCCCAAGGAAGTTGTGAACACTCCAACCCTGGAGGTGTTCAAGGCCAGGCTGGACAGAGCCTTGGGCGATGTAGTTTAGTGTGTGGTGTCCCTGCTCATGGCAGGGGGGTTGGAACTAGATGATCTTAAGGTCCTTTCCAACCTGAACTATTCTATGATTCTATGATTCTATGATCTCAACACTGCCTACTGCTTGGGTGAAATGGCTCTCACTGAAACCAATGTGCTGTTAAGCTATAAGTGATTTTATGAAATGGGTTTTTTTTTAGAGATACTTTAGAGTTATAATGCTAAAGAGAGTATGAGAAAACATATTTATTACTTAGTAGCTGAAGAATCTGGTTCTTTGTTATATTAGTATCCCCTTCAAACGCAATTCTCTTTTTGTGTTAATATCCTTATTGTACTTCTATTTAAACTCCCATAGAAATTGTTGATCTGAAGTTAAGATAGAAAAATGTGAGAGACTACCAGAAACACAGCAAAGTGTCTACATAGAAAGATGGAGCTACATGTAATTAGAGAATAATTTTGCATGCCAAGCATGCAAGCCAGTGGCCTTTGCACTGATTTTGAAGACCAGTAGACTTTGATGGGAAAGAACCTGAAATCGGATCCCTTCTGTTTACACAGGCCACATCTCCAATTGCATGTCTTCTGTAGCAGAATGCATGAGGGAGATTTAGTCACGCAAGTAAGGCTGTGTAATGGTTAAGGTTCATAATCCCTTATCGTGTGCATTGGAAGAAGGAGGCATTCTGACACTGTCCATTAGCATCACACTCTTAGAGGCATCTGAAGCTTTTACTATAAAAACTCTTCTATGTTCCTTTTCCTTCAAAGCCAAACTCTTTTCACCCTGGCAGTCTGAGAGAGATGGCAGATAGTATCTTGCTTAACAAAGGTCATAGTTCTCTGTGTGGCAGCCCTGTATGTCACAGAGATATATCTTACAATCTGTGAAGTATTAAATGTCTCTTTGTTTGTTTCTATCAGGCGTTTGAATGACAATGATATTTCTGTTTTGGAAGCCATCGGACTCTTCAAGAAATTGCCCAACCTCAGAAAAATGTAAGTTTGAGTCACTTCCTTGTTAGAACACATGTTGCCTTGGATTGTAAGGAAGGGGGAAGGGATGGTTTTTTTTATAATTTAGTACTGCAGTGGCAGAAATCACTTTTTAATGTGAATTTAAGGAAACTGAATGAGTTGCCTGTTAGATGGACAGGCCCAGGTAAACCACAGTGACACATGAAGATCGCTAGGCTGACATTTCACTATTCTTTAGGCTATATTTGTTAAAGCGTTTGACTCGTGGAGACTGGAAGGAATTCTGTCCTAGAATATATTCAAATGTGTGCTTTTTGTTAGTGATGGCTACAGAATTTAGCATTTTGATTTTGTCTTTTGAATGTATTGTGTGAGTCCAACTACTGTGATTATTTCAAATAGTCAAAGCAAAGTAATATTACAAGATACAGGTGATGGCAGCTTCTTTTGATCATTATTGTTTTAGAAAGGAGACTCATTTAGCTAATTTAGAGATCAGTCATTCAAATATGATTCTGTTAACAGCCTGAGTCTTGACACTGTACAATGTCTATATTTAATAAGAGCTGTGTTTTGGAAAGACGGTAATATGTCAGATACCTCCTGATAGTCTTCTAGATGGATCTTTTTGAAGTTATTTAAAGTTTTAACCCTATGGCACCATTGCTAGTTTCTCAGCTAACTGTTTTCTTTAGTAAGATTTTATTGCTTGAGTCAAGGTAGTTTAGGGAAACCAACCAACCAGGCTTTTTCTTCTGCATTCATTTCACGTGGTTATTACCATCTGGAGCTTCCTTACCACTGGAATCCATGTAAGATCTATGGGGCTTTGGGGACCACTGTAGTGGGATTCTTATGTCAGTTTTATTTCTGCAGGAGCTTCGGATGCAGCACTGCAGGTTTGGGAGTGGGGCTTGTGTTTGTGCAAGTACAGGCCACCAGGCTTGGGGAATTAATCATATACAGCAGCTTCACAGCTTATGAATGATCCATAAGTTGTAGCTACGGTGCACTTAGAAAAAGCTGTTGACATTGTTGAAGTGCTGTTTTGTCTGTGTAAGTAGATAGTCAGTGGGAATGAAAAATGCGTGGTATATAGAAGTATACACAAATTGGAAAGCATCTGTCCTCATGAAACATTCAGGATTTAGGTTTGGAAAATTGGAGAGGTGTAAGAGCTGGAAGAATTTAAACTTAATAGAGGCAAATTCTGGCTCTGTCCTTCCTGTTCCATCAGTCACTCAGGTGCCTCAACAGGGCTGCAGTGTTGTGCATAAATGCAGCATGAAAGAGTTACAAGAGGTTTTCTAAGAGAGTTTGTTTCCTGTGAAACAAAAGATTTTTCTGCGCTGTAGAGATTTTTTGGTAGGAGATGAAAACTGAGGTGTGCAGGTGCAGTTCAGATGGATGGCAAAAAGAACTTGTGCCCTACAATTCAGAAGAGGTCTCTCTCATACGGATTTTAAGTGGCAGCCTCCAAGCAGAGGCTCTTTAGGTAATCTTTGTAGTTAAGCTAATTTCTCTTTTTCTACCTGACTGGAAAGAAGTATCTCAATTTGACTAAAGGGATTTTCTGCAAAGGAGTTTTTTTGTGTAAGTGGAGCAACATTTCAACCATAAACTTCAAAAGCCAGATGAGATTTTGTTTTTCTACTTCTCCTAGTTCCATTTTGTGAAGGGAAGGGGTTACCAGGAAAAAACAAACAAGCAAACAAACACCCCTTTTCTTCTATGTGATTATCTGCCCTTTACTAAGTATCCTTCTGCTAATAATAATAATATATGCAAGAAGGGAAATGTAG